TATATATATGTATATATATATATACATATATGCTATGAACAATTAGAAATCATGTAAATAAGATAAATTAAAATAAAGTAAGTTTAACATGGGATCATTCTGAGACTTTTTACCTAAATCTTGAGGTAATTTTTAAGATTAGATATTTTACTCACTCATAAACACATTTTAATCTAAATCAGTATAGACTTTCTAAACATATGTTTTCTTCTTTCAACAAGATATAAATACAGAATTATTGTGGTAGCAAGAATTTTTTAAAAAAGGCAATAGTTCGTGTCTTATAGAAACAAAGGCAAACCGCTCAGATTTCATCCGTGGAGACACAAGCCCTGTAGCTGTCAAAGTTTCAGTGTGTAGTTATTTGACAATGACAAATATGCAAATGTTGAATTATATGAAATTCAGTGGAGAGACAGAAAATAGACAGAGGAAAAGCTCAATAAATTCTGGTGCTGATTCAAAACACTTTCTTTGAAATGTTCTATGTAAGGCGTTGACTTTTAGCAGGGTTGTGATCTACCAATGTTGCTCCTTTATGTAAATAAAACTTGCAAATTAGCATTTTTTTTATTATGACATCAGTATTTTAGTTTTCCATCCTCGGTCCTTTATATTGTGTCATAACGTAAGGATGTTTTTAGTGACTTTCTTTTCTCACCCGTCGTTGTTGAGATCTGCCGTCACCACTGAATACCCAAAAGAGGATGCCAGCTCCTCCCCCCAGAAGATGTGCTGCGGCACCAGTCGGTGCACGTTGTCCTTCCTCAGCAGCACCACAGCTCCTGTGTGATTGGCTCGAGGTGCACCGGCCACAAAGGTCAGCTCCCCGAGGCTCATTATTCCCATAGCCGAGTCTACAGAAAATCCTGGTAGAAGAAGAGGAAAAGGAGGGTTTGATGCTTTGGATGGGAGACTACGACGAAGTGAAAACTCAATGCAATCTGCTGTCTCCTTAGATAAATAACGTTATTGACAGACTTTTTATGTATGTGAATGTTTCTGTGCAGTGCCCTGAGACGACTTCTGTTGTGATTTGGTGCTATATAAATAAACTGAATTGAATTGAATTATGAAACCTGAGGTTTTGTGGCTCTGCTCCTCACAGTGTATGTTCAGTTCATCCTCTTCTTAATGAAATGTGTGCCTTAAGTGACTATTGATTTTATGACAAACTCATGATGGGTGAAAATGTTGTGCTTTTAAAGGATCAGTGTGTCTGCTGGTAAAAGCAAACCAGCTGTTTGTGACAGGAACACGAGGAGATGTATTGGCCTTCGTCTTTTCGGATTCACAAACCTATAGCTCTGCATCAGCAGCTTCAGCTGAGCTTAATATGTAAATAAAGTAGAAGCACATTAAATAGATTTATTGCCTGGAACATCTCTGTAGTGTGTGTGCGCTTTGTGTGAACGAACATCTCTGCATGTGTGTTTGAAGGAATGTGTTTACATGAAAATCAGCTGGAGTTGTGTTTATTTCATGACGAGATTGTGTCATAAATTTCAAATGAAGCTGTCAACGTTTTTACAAGCCGCATCTAATATTTTACACGAACACAAGCAAGCACATGCATTTTTTTCTGTTCAAGCATGCAAAGTGTGAGAAGAGGGAGGAGGACATTGAGGACAGTTGTTAGTTCTGAGTAAACATGAAGAAAGAGACTAAATTGACACAGAAAACGAGCAGCTCCGGGGTGGCAGGTGTGGAATGTAACATCGCAGCTTCTGTCAAGCTAACAGATGGAGACAAGGTGCTACTTTTTCCCTCACAAGGTGTTTTTTTATTTTTTTATTATTATCATGCAGGCCTCAGAAGAACTAAACACTGTAAAACTAAACTAGTTATAAGTGTAAGCCAGCGGACATAATCTGATTGTTACCCTTTTTTTTTTAATTATTCTAATCTTTATCATTCTTCATTTGTATTCATCTTCACCAAATAATTTATGTTTATTGAATTTTTATTTTAATTTTTGTCATGCTACTTGTCATGATCACTGATTAGAATAATAAAATAAGTGACATTAGTGGAAACAAGCCCTCTTTTTAATGAAGATTTTATTTTGTTTTGTTCTTCTAAACAAAAACAGCAACATTTATAATAGATTCTGTAGCTTTTGTCAAATCTGTTTTTATCCTTCTGGAAAGGTGATGAACAACATCTGGTTTGACCTTTACATTTCTTGTTTGTTTATTTTATCAAGACTATACCTTCAGATAAACTATTTTATATTTTAAATGAGACCAAATTATGATAAGTATTTTAAAACTTGTGCAATTTATTCAACAGGTTCTGTCATTTTGACAGGCATTTATGTGTACATCTCGTTAGGATCAATGGAAGCATGTGAGTTATAAACGAGGACCAAAAGGTCATGAGAGAATTAGCGTTGTCAAGGCAACAGCTCAATATGGTGAGAGTCAGCAGGCTAAGAGGAATGTGAATTAAAAGATTTATGGTGGAGCCACACAATGAAGAATAAAAACTGGAACCTAACAATAAAAATGAACTGATCTGGTTTAGCAAATTCTGGCTCATCAACTTCACATACAATAAACATTAGATATCCGCTAATGATGTGTCTCACATCACATTATTCAAAGTGAAATATGAAGAACATCTCCCAATCATATGGATGCAGTTCTTTATGTGATAAATTCAGTCCAACAGTTGTGACTCTAAGATGGTGAAATGTCCTAATATTTAGACTTTTTTGGCTTTTCCTCTTCCTCCAACGTGAAATTAACTTCGGTTATTTTGAGTAAAAGTCAAGGGAAACAACTTAAACACATGTATCCATATTAGCCACATAATAAAGATACCACGATTATTAAGTTGTCACATTGTTCCACCATCAGTACATAATTTAACATAAAATACTTTAAACAAATAAAATCTGATTACAGAAATTCCACAAATAACAATACAAATGGTGAATTTTGCTAAAAAGTCCAATAGACAAAGCTTACACAACAGCAAGTAGTCCATTTTTGGTGCAAGGCCATATATGGACTCTTAAGCAGATCAAGTAGTTCTTGTTTCTCCCACAAAATCCTGAATCTGCATTCAGAAGTCATGGTTGTACGAGTTTGGTTCTGTTAGCTGGTTTATTTTCTTTCTGATCAGTTTGTATGTATTTCATCTTGGTGGTAATTTGATTAGAATTATTATACAATAGGGTGGCACAGTGGCACAGTTGGTAAATCTGCCACCTCTCAGCGAGAAGCTCACCAGATCAAATCTTGGCAAGAGTCCTTTATGGGTGGAGTTTGCATGTTCTCTCTGTGCATGAATGGGTTTTCTCCAGGTACTCCGGTTTCCTTCCACAGACCCAAAGCATGCATGTTAGACTGATTGGTAACTCTAAATTGTCCCTAGATGTGAGTGAGAGTGTGAATGGTTGTTTGTCTCGTTTGTCTCTATGTGTGGCAGTGATGGACAGGAGATCTGTCCATGGTGTCCCTCGCCTCGTGCACAGTGATGGCTGGACATGGGCTCCAGTGACCCCCTTGACCCAGAAAGGATAATGTTAATGGATGAATGGATGGATATTAGACTATTGGTTTGAAGTGTAATTCCTCAAAAAAATATAAAACTTCCTAAATGTAGGCTCACAAGTCAATGGGTTCCAGATTCAGTCTTCAAATGCAGTGAGTTCTTTGTTTATTTTGTGCACACTGGGAAAAGTTAGTACAATATATTGTTGTGTTTAGTGAAATATTGTAATAATCAATGTTTTTAAGGACCCAAGTTTCCAATGAGTGACCCATCACATCAATTTGATGATTGGATAAGATATGGTCAAAATATCCTGATGCATGATCAATAATCCATGTAGAGAACTCTAAAAAAAGTTAAGTCAGTCCTCTGGACATATTTTTCAAGAAGAATCTGTCCAGAGGACCTGACTTAACTCTTTTAGATTTGGTCGAAATTATATATTTTCTATATTCTAATAAATAAATTTTTTATATAATTTAAAAGAGGAAACATCAATATATACTTGGATATTAGGATTTCCCAGCTAAAAAGTAAAATAGCTTTGCTGATGCGCAAAAAAATTAGGAAAAATGTAAAGCTTTTCTGCTCAAAATGATATTTTTTGGTACTGCACAAAATAGAGCTTCAAAACATTTTTAGGATTTTGGACACTTGTTTCAGTGGACCCTATAGATAATGTATATATTCATTATATTTTGACAAAATCCAGTTATTGTGAATATTTCAACCAATGCATTATAGCTGCCATATATCTGCATACCACGTTGCAACTTAATCCCCAATTCGATGTGATAGGGCACATATAAAATGCAAATGTGCACATTTCATTACTTGCAGGTATAAAACTTTTAAGGTCTCATGAGGATCAACAGTTGCAGCCACATCTACAGAACAGGGCTCAACTAAACTACAGAGAGTATTATAATCACTGTTTGTTATCTCACCTGTACCTAATTGTATTTACCTATTATTTGCACACAATTTTTTTCCTCACCTCAAATCTAAAAACTTCATGAACATATATAATAAAGGATTTTACATCCAATTTATTGTTCACAAACTGAAACAGTGTTGTGAAACAGGCTATAGATAATGTTAAGTTGTGAGAGCAGATGTGTATCAGTGGAGCTTGACATTGCTGCAGGAAATGATGTAGTCCCACTTTTGTTTGTTAATTGGACACTTCAACAATTTTTTTAAGAAACTGCAACAATGAACAGGAAAACCACCACCGAGCTCTCCTGGAAAGCGTCATCCAGACAGACAGTTGCACAAAATGACAAATAAGCTAAACACACTGAAAACAACAAAGTTGTCTGAGGACTAAAAGGGCGGACAAACACCCTACAAATACCATACTCAAAAAG